TTTGTTGACTCAAAGGAACAGCTAGTCACCCTAATTGGCTTGGTTCTTCTAGTTGATGACTTAACTACACTAAGTAGAGCTACAGCATAAATATTATGCCAATAATATCCTTTCTTTTGAAAAGTGCTTAAGCAAAGCATTGTATCCCATTTGTAATATTTTATGCTTACATTTTTCTTTGAATAACATTAATGTTACATTCCAACATTTTTATGCATTACTGAAAGGAAACATTAATAATTCTATTGTTTTTTAACTTGCTTTCCTTTGGAGGCAGGGAATTGTCAAGTAAGTATAAATTATATCTGAGTGAGAAAAAAAGACTAAATCTGCTATAATATTAATTATTAAATTATTTTCTGATGTACTCTGTTGTTCTTTGGGAAAGAGAAGCAACTGATCCAGCAGTGTGGTGCCGTCTCAGAAGGAGGTACCATTTTGGAACTGCACAAAACAGCCTCTGTATAGGAAGCATGCATGGCAGATCACCCACTTCTGTTTCCCAAAGGTGATCTCGAAAAACATAAGTGGACTGAAGGGACCCAAGGGGCAGGAAGCATAGCACAGGGTGGAGAAAGCCCTAGGAGGCCCTGAGCAGGTCATGCATGTGCTAGAAAGATACTGCAGTGAGGGCCCAGGGCTGAGCAGGCCTCCCAGGGCCCTCCCCAATCCCTAAGACACCCCTTGCTTAATTTAACAATTGTAACAAAGAGACCAGAGATTGTGGTCATTAAGTGAGGCACATGGGCACTTCGCTTAAAAACCACCATTACTTGCCATCATAATTCTGGGCTCAATTGTGATTGTAGGTCAAGGACTACTTGTAAAGGGCACAGCAATTTTGAAAGATTAAATTTTGGTGAAAATGTTTTTGAAAATATTAGAATTAAACAGACAAATGGACCTGACGTTTTATGGTAGTAAAGGAATATTATTTGGCTAGCATTTAAAAGCACAGACAATTGGTGGATTGTACAAAATGAAGATAAAAGAAATATGAGCCAGATTGTGACAGTAACTGTAACTATGGAATCTGGTGACTATTCCCCCCCCCCCCCCCCCCGTGGTTAGCTGTGAAATTGAAGGTTTTTTAAACATAAATATAGTTTTTCATAATTTCATACATGCTTGTGTAAATGTGCATAGAAAATAGTCTTCTAACATTTATGTATTTCTTATAAATCATTTTCCTTTCCCCCTAATTGAGAAGTGGGTAGGATAAAATTTGCATGAGGACAAGAATTATAGAGCCATTGGAACATGTGAAATTTAACTGCACACAGAAAACAAACATATGGGGGAAAATAATAGAAGATGGGAAATTAAAAAGAATAAAGACGGAAGAATTATATCAAGGCAGTAGCTTAGAGTTCTCATTTTGTACTATGTTAGTGAGCCTGATGTCAGTGAAGGAAAAAAATTATAGTTGAAGACAAAGATTCTGGATAATCCCCTTGGGATGAAAGACGTAGTGTGAACCATCTGAAAGACACTGAATTGGGAAATGCACTACACCATGACAAGTTAAAAATGGACTTTCTTGATGCTATTAATAAGTTACAGCAGTATCCTATACACATTTATTCAGAAATAAGTCTGAGTAACTTGTATAAGACTTTAGTCAGTTTCCAGGACAATGTTCTAGTCAAAGAAAAAATAATCCTGAGAATTTTCTTCTGTAAGCCATAAGTACTTGTAATAATTTTTTATTCATTTGGAATTTAAATGAAACCATAAATATAGCCTTCAGAAACAACGAGGCTTATTGAATAAGCACTCTTGCTCAATGTACAGCATTTTATGAGGAATTGATGGTTTTGGGATTGAGCATAGGTCAACATTTCCTTTGTTTTATGAAACTGGTTTCTTAAAATAATGCAAGGTAATGGACAGTAGAGACCAGATATGATGGGAGATGTGCTTTCTTCTACTATTCACTTAAAAAACCACCTTCATAGACATCACCTGAAGCAATACATTGGAAAAATATTCCTGTTCTGTTCCATTGCATTGAATTTAACATTCCTTAAAGATAATTTCATCCATTCCTTATTTAACATCCAGCCATAATGTCTTAAGCATTCTCCTGAATTTCTCAAAAACAGTTGTGGGAAATGTATGTTTGGAAATGCTTGTTTCATATAACCTCCATGAGTTATGATTTGCTTCATTACCTTGCCTACTGCCTGTTTAGGTTTTCCTCTATCTAGTATGTGAAATGATTTTAGAAGAGAAAGCAAATTTTGATATATTTGGAATCATTTCTATAAACTTTATTATTTATGCAATATACTAGAAGTATGTGGGAAGCATTGATGAAGCTTCCTTTCTTTTCCTTTTCCTTTCTTTTCCTTTTTCTTTTTCCTTCTCCCTGCCCTATTGGATCCTTAGTGCAGACTTTGCCCCAAGATGTCAGGGTATGACCTTTCTGAGTTTATGGATTGGTGCATTATTTTATTTTTTGTTTTATTTTTTGCTGGCATGCTTCAATAGCATGGCTGTGTGTCACAAGGAATGAACAGTCAATTCAAAAGAAGCTTGTGCATGAATTACTCTACAGTCTCGGTCTGTTTTTCTGAACTATATACTAAGTTTCTTACTTGGCTTTATTTGCTGCTTACAAGGGGATCAAGGTAATTCTTTCAGTGTTGAAATATTTTGCTAATGCTTAAAGTGAATATATTTATCTTGCCCAAGATGTAATTGTTTGGTTTGCTATTATTTTTGATATACTATTGTTGCACTTCTAGTAATTAAACATAAAAATATTACCTGTCTTATTTATAATTGAGGTTTATATTAGTTTTGGATTTTCAAAACTAACTTCTCTATTCAAGCTTATTATTTTAAAAAATGTTATCTCTAGAGGCTATAGTCATAAAATATGACTTTGCATATGAAGGCTGCCAGATCTTAGATGCAAAAATCTGGACAACTCAAAATGTCAGCAAAGGGATACAAAAGAATTCATATCTTACCCAGCTTGTTGCAGTTTTAATATGGGTTATACTGTACTATTTGCAATAACCTGTTTCACTAATATACAGGTAGTCTTCGACTTAAATCATTCATTCACTGACTTTTTGACATAACAATGGCACTGAAAAAAGTGAATTATGACTGATTTTCACACTAACTTCTGTTGCAGCATCCCCATGATCACAAGATCAAAATTTGGGCGCTTGGTGACTGGCATTATTTATGACTGTTGCACTGTCCCAAGACATGTGATCACCATTAGTAACCCTCTCTACAAGCTTCTGACAAGCAAAGTCTATAGGGAAAGACAGATTTGCTTAATGACTGCATATGTCAACTCATAAAACATTCCTATGCCTGGAATCCTGAGAGCATAATTCACTTAACAACTAGAATAGAATAGAATAGAATAGAATAGAATAAATAGAATAGAATAGAATAGAATAGAATAGAATAGAATAGAATAGAATAGAATAGAATAGAATAGAACAGAACAGAATTCTTTATTGGCCAAGTGTGATTGGACACACAAGGAATTTGTCTTGGTGGAAATGCTCTTAGTGTACATAAAAGAAAAGACACATTCATTAAGAGTCAAGAATCATAAGGTTCAACACTATAATGATTTACTTAACTGTCACAAAAAAGGTCATAGAATGGGGCAAAATGTAACAACTCTCTTGCTTAGTAACACAAATGTGGGACTCTATTGTGGTTATAAGTTGAGGATAAAACATTTATCATGAAATTGAGTTTGCTGCACATTAAGAATCTAATGAAATTTGGTTTTAATAATATGATATTAAAACATTTTACATGTATGTTTAATTCCAATTTATTTATATAAAATAACTTATACATTATAAAATAGCTTGAATAACTGAATAACAAAATTGAAAGTGCACAGACAGAATCCACAAACTCTTTTTACAATGGAACATGTTTAAAGCTAAAATAGTTTAAGTCTTTCTAGTTATATCCGTAACATTTCTCTGGTCTACTAATTTTGTCACATTGTCAAAGAATGAAATAAGATTTGTCTAGCATGATCTGTTTTTGAATATTTGGGATAGCTTGAACATTCATTTCACTTTCAGTGATCCTGTTATTCTATGCTAAATGCTTGACAACAACAATATGGGCACAAATGCTCATACCACCAAGGATGTACCTTTTTAATATTCTCCAATTACTATTTAGGAATGATTCCTATTCATACGTGGTGGGATTAATTTTTTTTTACTACCGGTTCTGTGGGCATGGCTTGGTGGGCTTGGCTTGGCTTAGTGGGCATGGCTTGGTGGGCATGGCAGGGGAAGGAGACTGCAAAATCTCCATTCCCACCCCACTCCATGGGAAGGATACTGTAAAAATTTCCATTCCCTCCCCTTCCTGGGGGAAGGTTACTGCAAAATCCCATTCCCTCCCCACCCCACTAACCTGCTTTCCAGATCCATTCTCCTATGCAGGGCAACAAAAGAAGGCCCAGCTGGGACTCGGGAGGCAGAGAATAGATGGGGGCAGGGCCAATCAGAGATGGTATTTGCCGGTTCTCCAAACTACTCAAAATTTCCGCTACCGGTTCTCTAGAACTGGGCAGAACCTGCTGAATATCACATCTGTTAACACTGACCACAAGCCTGCAGTGTTAGCATTCTTTTTCTCCGTGACATCATCTCATTCTCAACCCATGAGTAAAACAGGTTTAAATCATCCTTAGCTACCCTAAAATTAAAATAGTGTTTTCCCAATTACGCTAACCCCATCTGAAAGCATCTTCTGGCATCTTAAATTTCTCATTCCCTGGAGGAAAGTTCACTACAATAACAGGATAAAGATTCAGTTAAGGCAGGATAGGAGACCACAGTGGGGACATGCTAGGAACATATTTCATGCTGGGACATTTTCCAGCAGATTCAAGGATGGGTAGAGCAACTCAGAAATAAGGAATAGGAACCCATAAAAGGCATTTCTTTCCATTCACAGGTGATTATCCATTATTTTGTTACACTTTTTTTCAGGCCACCAGTCAGCAGAGCTGCTCCTCTACCTGAAAAACTGCAAAAGAATAATATCAACAAAAAAAAGAAAGTGGTTGAGGTCAGGTTTAATACTTTGATATTTTAATACTCCTTCTAATATGGGTTTATTTTTAATTCATTTATTTATTTATATCCTGTCTTTGTTATTTTTACAAATAATTCATTTGATGCTTATTGCTCCAATCTTTACCAATTTTATAGTTTTTAAAACTTTATCAGTTTTAATGCATGTTGGTGCATTAATAAGCTACCCAAATCTGTTAATTGCCACAGCCTGTTAATACTTGTGTTGTCTGGTACATGGGATTAAATTGAATCCCACATCTGATACATGGGATTAAATGTAGGTATATACTGTAAAGGTAAATATAGATAAATTATATAAATGTAAGTATATACAAAGTAACCAGAATGATACAACCAAGGAACAATTTATTTTCAGAAGAGTAAATTCTGTAATAAATTAATGCAGTATTGTCATCTATGGTATCCATATTTTCTGATATTTTACTACCTGTATTGTGATATAAATATGCTTCATAAAAGAATATTTGAAATTAATGCTGTGAAACTATATATCTTTAAGTTGGAGTTTTAAATATAGCCTTTGCCTTTCTTTCTTACCATGTTCACATTCTACAAATTACCATGTTCACATTCTACACACACACACACACGCGCGCACTCACACACACACACACACACACACACACTCCATCAAAACTGTTTATAATTTAACTTTTTAAATTAAGAAATGGCTTGCCTCATCTGCAAAAATGAGTACCTTTAAATGGGTCTATAATTTTCCTTCCTTTATTTTATTTCCAGGAACTGTGTTTAGATCATGTCTTTGGATATCGTGGATTTGATTGCCGCAATAACCTTCATTACCTCAATGATGGTGCTGATATTATTTTCCATACTGCAGCAGCATGCATAGTTCAAAATCTCTCAACAGGTAATTAAAATAAAAAAAAATTGCCAGTTGTCTTGGTTAAAAAAACTAACAGGTTAGGTACTAGATGCCAAGGTGTTTAAATGAAAGCACTGTGTGTATTATCTTGGATATGTAAAGCATTTGTAAGAATGGCGCTGATGACGGCTGCCTCGGTGAAATGCTCTCTAATGGTTTCTTTATTCCTTATTATTATCTGTAATTCACTACGGATTTCATACTCACGAGACCATCTGCTAAGAATTAGGCAATGTTTCCTTAAGGAGCAGCTTTCTGATTCCCCACCCCCACCTGTCTTTGCAAACGCGGAGGATATTCTAACCAATTCCCTGGTGCTATAGATTACAACAAAGAAAGCAAAGAAGTGACCACGCTGGAAGAGGAGACGAGGTAAATAAGCGGGAATTTTAAACAGACTAAGGAATAGGGGGGAAAAAACTCCTCTCCAATCTTTCTGACTAATTTACGCTCACTAGCTAACAAGATGGATGAAATTCATCTCTTAAATAGATGGAATTCTGATTTTCATAATTCATCTGTTCTTTGTTTTACTGAAACCTGGCTTAATCCACAAATTCATGGGGACAACACCATATACATCCCAGGATTTCAGACATTTAGATCAGACAGAATTGAAGAGACATCAGGTAAAACAAAGACATCAGATAATGTTTATATATCAACAACAGCTGGTCTCAGGATATAACTATAATATATAAGTTTTGTGGTGAAAACTTTTGTGATGAGTCTTTACTCATCAACTGCAAGCCATTTTACTTTCCATGTGAGTTCTCCTCATTTCTCCTAATAGCTGTGTATGTTCCTCCACAAGCCTGTGTAAACTCTTGCTGATCAAATTATGGAGGCTGAAGCCAAACACCCAGATTCCCTTCCCATCATTTTAGGAGATTTCAATCAAGCAAATTTAAGGAAAGAGCTTCCAAAATATTTCCAGCATGTAAATTGTCCCACCAGAGGCAAAAATACTTTAGACCACTGCTACACAACAGTAAAAGATGTTTATAGGTCTTTACCATGAGCAGCTGTGGGACACTCTGACCACTGCATTATTCACCTTGTACCTGCCTACAGGCAAAGCCTTAAAACCATTAAACCAACAATTAAATCAGTGAAGACTTGGTCGGATGAGGCAAAGCTGAAACTCCAGGCCTGCCTTGATTGCACTGATTGGAATGTTTTTGAAGATGCCTCTGCAGACCTAAATGAGCTCACAGATACTGTAACATCATATGTTAGCTTCTGTGAAGACTTATGTGTACCAACAAGGAACCTGCAAATATATAGTAACAATAAACCTTGGTTCACAGCTAAACTTAAGCAGCTATGTTGTTCCAAAGAGGAAGCCTACAGAAAAGGTGACAGAATGCTATACAACCAGGCCAGAAACATATTAACAAGAGAGATCAGAGCAGCAAAAAGAAGCTACTCTGAAAAGTTAAAGAATCAATTCTCAACAAATGAACCAGCAAACATGTGGAAAACTCTTAAAAACACCACTGGCTTCAGCAAACCTCCTTCCCAGGCAGAAGGAAATCAACAACTAGCAGATGATCTGAATGTGTTTTACTGCAGCTTTGAAAAGAAATTACAGCCACCTATCTCCACAACCCACATCTCAAACACACCAACAACAGCCAAGCCTCCTACGACTGACCCCATTGGGCTCACAACCTCTGATGATCACAGAAAAAGAAGTGCAAGATCTATTACACAGACAGAAGCCAGGAAAAGCACCAGGGCCAGACAAGATAACTCCTTCTTGCTTAAAAGTCTGTGCTGACCAATTGGCCCCCATCTTCAACCAAATCTTCAATAGATCACTAGAGATGTGCTATGTTCCTTCCTGCTTCAAACGTTCTGTCATCATCCCAGTGCCAAAGAAGCCCTCCATCAAGGAACTGAATGACTACAGACCAGTTGCTCTAACATCTGTAGTTATGAAAATCTTTGAAAGGCTTGTGCTGTCCCACCTGAAAACCATCACGGATCCACTGTTAGATCCCATGCAGTTTGCATACCAAGCAAATAGATTGACAGATGATGCTGTTAACATGGCTCTGCATTACATCCTACAACACCTTGAATCTCCAGATACCTACGCAAGGGCCCTCTTTGTAGACTTCAGTTCAGCATTCAATACCATCACTCCAGACACTCTTCTAAGTAAATTAAACCAACTAGTGGTACCTGAATACACTTGTAAGTGGATCATAAGCTTCCTAACAGACAAGAAGCAGCAGGTGAAGCTAGGCGGAATCACATCTGACAATCAGCACAGGGGCCCCCCAAGGCTGTGTGCTATCTCCACTTCTCTTCTCCCTATATACTAATGACTGCATCTCAAATGATCCATCTGTTAAAATACTGAAGTTTACTGATGACACAATAGTGATTGGTCTCATTCAAGACAACAATGAATCTGCATAAAAATCAAGAGAGATATAGGCAGTTCTCAATTTACAATCTTTCATTTAGGGACCATTCAAAGTTATAGCAGCACAGGTTTAAGTCTGTCACAACATCCCCACAGTCATGTGATTAAAATTGGGGGATTTGTTAATGGTGGTTACAATGTCCCAGAGTCGTATGATAGTCATTTGCTACCTCCCCAGTCAGCTTCTGACAAGCAAAGTCAATGGGGGAAAACAAATTCATTTAGTGACCATGTAATTCACTTAATAATTTTGTTTAACAGCCTTGGCAAAAAAAGGTCATAAAATTAGACATGACTCACTTAATATCCACCTTGCTTACTAATGGAAATTCTGGTCCCAATTGTGACTGTAATTTGAGCACTACCTGTATATGTTCCTTTTCATCTGCTATCATGTTGGATGATATTATTGATCCATTGTGGTTTAGTACTGTCATATAACAATGGCAATATCTATGAAGTTGGTGGTGGTTGTTTGCCTGAAATCCTCATGAATATATAGTACAGTGTCGCTATGGAATTGAATTGTTAAGGAAATAATGGACTAATATTGGTATGTAGCATGAGCAGATGATTAACAAATCCTTAAGCAGTTTTTTTTATTTTAAGAATCTAACTCTCTTTACATTACATTTCAGCTACTTTGTACAAAGGGGATTTACTATTACTATTCTTAAATGAATTGATTTTGTGACATAGACTGATCTGAAAATGTACTGCCTTTATAGTTTCTGTTTATTGGATATTTTAAAAATGAATCCCCTTTTTTGTTTTGAACTACAGGAAGTCAGAGTTTCTACCTGGAACATACAGATGACATCCTCTGCCTAACAGTCAACCAACACCCAAAATATAAAAATATTGTAGCCACCAGCCAGATTGGTAGGTCCATAGTCAATTTAAACTAAAAGATTTTAAATAACTCCACGATTCTCTGTTTGCATGTTGGAATGTGAAATTGGGCAGTTACTAATTTACTAATTTTTCTTCTTGTTGTGCTGTTTAAGTGTTAAGATATTTTGAATATCTACTTGATTAGAAATGCAAAAAACTAATGAAATAATGTACACATTTATTATAAAACCATATAAGGCAGTGTTAGTGAACCTTTTCGGCAGCGAATGCTGAAATGGGAGCACGAGGGAGCACCAGAAACTGGAAGAGCAGCTCCCTGGCACACATGCACATGCCAGAAATTGGAAGCTGAGCTGCTCTTCCAGTTTTTGGCACTCCCACGCATGCGAAGACCAGCTGGTCAGGGCGCATATGCGTGCTGGAACCCAGAAGAGCAATAGGCGATGGTTGGCATGCCCGGAGAGATGACTCTGTGTGCCACTTTTGGCACGCATGCCATAGGTTCACCATCATAGATATAAGGAAATCACATAAAGCAGAAGCTTTACATTGAAATATAGCCTTTTCTAAGGTTTCAGGAAGCAATTTTGGTAAAATTGTTAACTAATTTGAGGGTTGGTAATTAATATGATATAAATTTTGACAATATTAAGTTAAAAAGCAGGCTCTGTTTCTAAGGTATTATTCAGGAAAGGCTTTTGTGATAATGTCTATCTGAAATTCTAGGTAGCTCTTAATAAGATCTCCTGTGCTAGATCTTTTTCAAATACTTTTTCTCATTAAACTCTTACAATGTAGGATACATTTCAGTTAAATAGGAACCCTGATTGATATGAGCACCATTAAGAGGAGTGCCAATGTTTTCTCTTATTGTGTTTGAGTAAAATAATGGAATTGATTGCTAAGAAAAGAGGAGGTGGGAGGAATTACCCCCGTTCTCAAAATAATGCCCTTAAACTCTTGAGCAGATAGCGGTAAACACTGTTCCATATGCATCTCCATTTGAAATCTTATTTCTATAATAGGATACAACATCAGCACAAACCTTGTTTTTTTCTATAAAAGGCATTATATTAGATACATAATTCAACAATATTTTGCTTGTTTTTTATATCCATACTCATGTTGTTGCTGCTTTTTTTTTAACTTCAATATTTTTTCTGGTGCTAATGTTGAGAACTTCAGCATTAGAAACCTAAACTTATTTCAGTTATTGTTTTTCCCTGATGCTTCCATATTTGTCATTGCTCTCATCATGCAGGTAATATGGCAGAATTTCCAGGTAAGGATTTCTCCTTTTTGAGTTCTTGTCAGTTCAGTTACCATTCTCATGCTCATTTGTTGTATCTGTGTCACTTAGAGATACAAGGTGAACATCAACAAATCAACCCTTTCTTTGTGCATTTATCCATAAATATTTCATTTTATCTTACTGTTTATCATTTCACAGTATTAATAATTCTGTCCAATATTAAGTCCCATGCTATTGTTACAGGTCTGGGGCACCTTTGATGTTTTGTATATATTTCTGTTGGAACGTAGCAGGACAGATTCCCAGGAGGGGATGGTGCATTCTAGAGGAGTAAGGGACAACTCAGTTCAGATAGTTTGTCTGAGAGAAGATGTCTCAAAATATATACTTGACATAGATAATAGAATGCTTCAGTTTATGAGGATTCTGTCTATAAGTAGGGAACAATAAATGCCTGTAGAGATTCTCAGTCGTACAGCTCATGGTTGCCCCAAAGGTGCTTTTTCAAAATGTAGCTGGATTTTTTTGTTTTCCCTTGAAGACATTGCACTTCTCATCCAAGAAGCTTCTTCATTTGTGACTGAATGGTGGGGAATTGAAGGATTTATATTCCTTGCAGTTATCTGGTCATTGGCAGTCTTTCTCAGAGTCGTTGATGCCACTTGGAGGTTTATCTGTGCCTCAAAAATAAAAATAAAAGGACCGATATGAACACCACCTATCTCCTGTTTACAACACAGTCCTTTCAGCAGTTCCAAGAAGGTTCCACACCCATTTGCACTATTCAGGTTGCCCTGAAGACACAGATAAACTTCTAAGTGACCTCAGCAACTCTCAGAGAGAGTGCTAACAACCAGATGACTGCAAGAAATATAGATCATTTCAATTCTCCACCATTCAGTCAGAACTGAAGAAGCTTCATGGATAAGAACCAAAATGTCTTCAAGGAAAAACAAAGAAAGACCCATTGTCTTTTGAAAAGCACCTTTGGGATATGGTACAATAAAGAAACCTACTTGGAAGAATCACCTCCCATCTTTCTTGATTTTGGGGGTCTGACAGTACTGCATAATTGCCTTATTTTAAGAAATGTACTTTGATTGGAAGAGTTATAAACTTAAATAATGTTTTCTTAATTCCTCCTGATTAAAAATGATCAGGTACTACACCATCTATTCACATATGGGATGCAATGACTAAGCAGACTCTGTCTATGCTGCGTTGCTTCCATTCTAAAGGAGTGAACTATGTCAACTTCAGTGCAACTGGCAAACTTCTGGTGTCTCTAGGAGTTGATCCAGAGCATACAATCACAGTATGGAGATGGCAGGAAGGTATGTTTCCAATCTTCTGTCTTACTAATTTTATATCCAAATTACACATTCAATATATGGCGGCATAGTTTGTTTTTCATTTGAAAAAAAAATATTTCTGTTTTTGTACTTTTCCCTCTGTCTTATTACTACCTAGAGTTAATTAAGGTTTAAGTGCATTGCATTGATATATATCTAGTTAGCTATATATTTACTTTATTGATAGTATTTTGGATCATCAATATCTGTGAAGAGGATGTAGTAGCAACAATGAGAATACAACCATGTCCCACAGAATATTTTTTTAAAAATTAATGTAGCATAGAAGATTGAATACCAAATAATAAAATCATTATGCACATTTTCTGAAATATCAGAAAGAAATAAGAATATAAGAAGAGTTATGCTGGGTCATATAAAAGGCCTGTGATCCCACAATCCCATGAGTATTCTTTTCCATTTAGTTGCCCTGGAAATTTATTTATCCATTCACCTTTCAGAATAACAATCTTTTTGAAACTTCTTTTAACAGTGTAAAGTATTGTAAAGAAAAATACTACAATGTATCTACTACATTTGATTTAGCTAAAAGGCAAAAAAAAAAAATAGTAATTTCTAGAATCTTCTTCATTCGCCAATGTGTGTGGTAATAACAAGATAGGGAAGGGAAGGAAGACTCCAACTGAGCGGTACTTTCTATGACTTGTCACCTGCCTTCCTTTATGAGAGAAGTGGAATAGCCTCTCCCACTTATGTTCCAGCAGTTGCTTTTGAAAGGACAATTACTCTGAAGCTGGAATTAATGTAGAACCACCATAACTGGGATTGCAAATAGCTATTGACAGGACCATTTTTAAGTAGAATTTCCCTCGATAGCCACGTGCACCGTAAGAATGGGAAGAACCCCAGGACTAGAATGATGGCAGATTGTAGTTGTGACTTATTTATGTTTGTGAAACATTAAAATGTCTTCTCTGGTTTCTACAGGCACTAAAGTTGCAAGCAGAGGAGGTCACCTAGAGAGGATATTTGTTGTAGAGTTTCGTCCAGATTCTGATACCCAGTTTGTTTCTGTTGGAGTAAAACACATGAAGTTCTGGACTCTTGCTGGAAGTGCTTTGCTCTATAAAAAAGGAGTGATAGGTTCGTTGGATGATGCCAAAATGCAAACCATGCTTTCAGTGGCATTTGGAGCAGTAAGTAGTCTTCATCCCCTTCCTTCATGTTTTGTGTGATTTGTGCAGAGAAAAATTAAACCAGTTTCATGAGAAAGGATTTTAGTGGTCAATATGTTTACTTGGGAGTAAATGTAAGTGAACATAAAGAGAGATAATACATTTTTTTACAGAATAATGCTAACAAAACTAGTATTAGGGAGGTTTATTCATCCAAGATACAGTACAAAGTCTTTATTGCTAGAATATGCCTGTTTCAATACAGAAGCTTGGATGGCAATCATGCTAGTTCTGAGGAGCCATCTCTATTTTCAAACTGAATACTGAAGCAAAGAATTCATATTATGTCAAAAGATAATAAAGCTCAATAATTCATAGCATCTACAAAGCAGATTATTGTGGTTTCTTTCAGAATAATCTCACGTTCACTGGAGCCATCAATGGAGATGTTTATGTGTGGAAAGATCACTTTCTAGTTCGACTTGTGGCAAAAGCTCACACTGGCCCAGTCTTTACAATGTACACCACTCTTCGTGATGGACTCATAGTTACTGGAGGGAAAGAGAGACCGTAAGGAATTATAACTCTTTTCTATGTGCAGTTATTTATATAGCCAAGTATCTTTCAGAAAGAAATCCAAATAAGAATAAGGAGTGTGTATGCCAGACTGAAAAAAATATTATTTGTACCCTCTGCTTCCTGAGCAGTCCAAGGATGCAGTGCAAAAAACAGTATTTGGGCTGAGAAAAACAGACAAGGAATATGTTTTGGTAGTTCTATATTGGGTTCTAATTATGATCCAGCTAGGTAAAAGCTAATCTCCTGTAGCCAAAATGGCAACCTCACATGATGCAGGTTCAACTTAGATCAGCAAAAGACATGAAATCACCATGCAGACCGATCATTTAGAAAAAGAATTGAAAACAAGATAGGAAGAATAGAATGAAGTGATTAAAAAAACGTAGACGTATTTATGTATATATTATTATTATTTTCATACTGAGAACTGTTTTGAATGCCCTCCAGAATAGAAGTGAGAGCTTTGTTTCATAAATGGCTATGTTTAATTTTTTTATATTAAAAAATGCTAGCATCCATCTATTTGAAACTATCATTTCCAAGGGCTGTATGCTTTATACGTTATCTGTTTACAGTCAGGCATTTCCACCATAGATCATCTGTATTTGCGAGCTCCATCTGAAAACCTAGAATAATTTCCTTATTTACCACTTAGTACCAGACAGCTAGATATAAGGGAAACCATATGGTCAATGTACTACAGGATCATAAGGATTTGAGGAGAATGGAATATTTCTTAACGTATTTCTTCTATTTTCAGAACGAAGGAAGGAGGGGCTGTAAAACTCTGGGATCAAGAGATGAAGCGCTGCCGAGCCTTTCAACTAGAGACAGGACAAATTGTGGAATGTGTGCGCTCAGTTTGTCGAGGAAAGGTACCTGAAACACACAAAATATATTGCCTGTTCCTCTCCTTACCAGGGTCTTATGTTAATATTGAGTGTTAAATAAATCTAAAGAGACTGAACAGGTGATCGTCATTTAAAGAGAGGAGGCTGAATAGCTACACTGTGTAGAGACAAGCAGAAATGCGAGAAAGAGACTTATAAATTGCAAGCATATTTCAAGAAAAATGTGAAGGTTCATCTATGCAACCTTTCTGTCCCAGTGCCGTCATATGACCATTTCAATACCAGATATACGGAATGTCTTGGTGGAATATCTGGTAATTCAGAGTGAATATTTATACCCAGTCACCTTCAGATGGTTGTGTGTAAGACAAATAGCAAGAGAAGAGCATTCATCCTACAGTATCCATATATGCTACCATTTTATTTTTATTTTATTTATTTTTATCTCACTTTTATTATTTTTACAAATAACTCAAGTTGGCAAACATATCCAACACACCTTCCTCCTCCTATTTTCCATCACCACAACAAATCTATGAGGTGAGTTGGGCTGAGAGAGAGAGTGACTGGCCCAAGGTCACCTTTTCATGGCTTTTATGGCTAAAGCAGGACTTAGAGCTCATGATCTCCCACTTAACCACGAGACCAAACTGACTTTACCATGGTCCCACTACAGATTTGAAATTGCTTTTGATAAATACATGCATCACACAGTGGAAAATAGTGAAATATTACCAAATGAAACAATCATTTTGTATAACATATGTTTAATGTTTGCTGTTCTCATTGATATTATCCCATGTCACACCAGCAATTGACCAAAAGAGGAGCCATAGATATGATTATGCCCATATTGTCTGCTAACCAGTGCCCCCAAAGTATATTCTCTGAATTGTGTCCATTCTCCTGGAGCAGGGGAATTTGGTACAAGAAGTAAGCCCAACATTTAATTACTATTTAATTACTACATTACTATTACTATTAATCTTCCCATCCTCCCTGTCACCCATCTCCTCCCATTTATGACTTATGACTGTATGACGATAACTTTGTTGCTTGTATCCTTATGATTTTTTTATTGACTGTTTCCTAGTATGATTTGATTGCTTATTGTACCCTATGACTATTATTAAGCATTGAACCTTATGATTCTTGACTCTTGACGAATGTATCTTTTCTTTTATGTACACTGAGAGCATATGCATCAAGACAAATTCCTCATGTGTCCAATAAAGAAGTCTATTCTATTCTATTCATTTAATTAGGGTTTATTGGTTTATTTCACGAAATGCATACAGTATGCTATCCCAATCATAATTTTCAGTAAGCTTACAATAAAATTTAAATGTACATAATCATATAAACTTAATGTTCCAGATATAACCATAAAGCTGACAACCTCTGGCCATTATGTTATACATCTTTATCATTATATGTTTCCTTATAAGAGAAAAATCTATTATAATGTAATTCCCTTTCCCTCGAGAATGCTGGAAAATATTTTTTGAGGAAATAGTTCACATTATCTTTGGGATAAACTGATGCAACGCCATTAGAATTGTATAGTATAAATTTACCTAATGTTATGTGGTCATAGCATGAGGGATATGATTTTATTTTATTTTTAAAGGAAAAAATATATAAATCAAACATTTGTAAATTATATCAGAAAATCCAGTTTACAGTAATTTATATTCCAAACTGCTGTCCTTGTACTCTTTTGCTTCTTCCTTCCTATTCTCCCCATTTTTAATTGAACAACATAGTGAACAAAGATACAAAGAGTCCTCTGTATGTTGTTTTTCTAATCCCACATGCCTTTGAATTGTCTACAGGGTAAAATTTTAGTGGGGACCAAAGATGGAGAAATCCTTGAAGTTGGAGAAAAAAATGGTGCTTCTAACCTTCTAATTGATAGCCACATGGAAGGAGAAATTTGGGGCCTGGCAACTCATCCATCCAAAGATATATTTATATCTGCTAGTAATGATGGAACTGCAAGGATCTGGGACCTTTGTGATAAAGTAAGAAGTTATTGGCCCAAAGTACAGAATAAGCTTTCAATCTATCAGAATTCTTAGCTGCTGCTACACTTAGCACATTTCCAGAGGAATTTTATGCATTCATACTCAGAATATGTTCACTGTAATTATGCTTAGGATTTCAACTTCGATGTCCATGGTACTTCATAGGTTTTTCTGTTTGTGGTGAAATGTATTAAGTGTATAAATCCAAAATAATTCCTCAATATCTGTTATTGCAGCTTATAATGATTAGTTACACCAGGGATGTCAAACTGGATTTCTTTGAGGGCCGGATCAACATTGTAGTTCTCCTCTGTAGGCTGGCTGGAGGAGGGGACACGGGACAGCCACCTCGTGCAGCACCCTGCCGGCCAAAATGGGGTGGGAGGGCATGTGCACCTCCACACCCCATTTTGGCCAGCAGAGTGCTGTAAGAGGCCATGCAGAAGGCCCCCTGCACCCCAATTTGGCTGCCAGAGGCACTGTGGCTGATCCTTTGCTATTTCCAGGCTCTGTTTTCGCTGGCAGGGGCACTGCGGACCAATTCTTTGCTGTTTCCAGGGCAACCCCATGCACCCTGGGGGCTGGATCTGGCCCCTGGGCCTTGAGTTTGACACCTCTGAGTTACACAGTATGTGTAAAAATATTTCAAGCACATTATGAATATTAAAAGCATGCAATTGAACATTATTAACATTAATGAAATGTCAATCAAAGTTGATTCTTCTGTTAACCATGCTTTCAATATTGAGAAAATTGGATTTGCTATTTATGAAAAATCGTTATTTCCAATTTCCCTGAGAGGGAAAGACTTTATATGTTATTCCATTATTCTGGCTCTAGATAACTTACAAAATCTAAAATTCAATTTAAATTTTAATACATTATAACAATGAAAAAGTATCGCTATAAAACACAATAGACCATTGTGAGTATGGCTTAAACAGTAAGCAACAACTGTTTGAATCTGGCTTGTCTGCATAGCTGCATTCTGGGCCAATTGCAGTTTCAATGACTCAACCATTTTGAGTCATCAGTGCATTTGCTAGATCTCTGAACTCCAGGAAGGAGTGCACCAAATTTATCACTAAAGCTAATAAATGTCTCCTGCTGGCATCAATTTACTATGGCTGACTGGTACCAATGCTAGATCCAAAAGGACTCCCAAATTATGAATCCGATCCTGAAGAGGAAATACAACCTTGTCTTAATAAGTCAAATCTCCCAATTACAAAGCCTAGGCTCCAAATTCACTGGCAAAGTGAATTTCATCCAAAGTGAATTTCATCCAAAGTGAATCTCATCCAAAGTGAGTTTCAGTTCTCCCACATTTAAGTCAGAGGCACAGAGAGGGCCTTAGCTCTATAGCCATGCCCAATCCTGTCTAGTGGTTCCATATAGTTCTCAAACATTTACAACATAGGAACTCCCCCTTGCATTTAACCTCTCCCCCGCCCCGCCCCCCGTGTGTGTGTGTGTGTGTGAGAGAGAGAGAGAGAGAGAGAATGAGAGAGAGAGAATGCTATGAGACGTTTTAAGTCTAAAGCAAAAGAATACAAATCATAAATAATGTGAGCCACTGTAACCAAATATCATCATTTTTCTTCTGCAGAAACTTCTGAATAAAGTTAATTTGGGCCATGCTGCAAGATGTGCTGCCTACAGTCCAGATGGTGAGATGGTTGCTATTGGCATGAAGAATGGAGAGTTTATTATTTTGCTTGTCATCAGTCTTAAAGTTTGGGGCAAAAAAAGGGATAGAAAATCTGCTATCCAGGACATCAGGTACTTCAGCATGCAAAGCAGAGAATGCCAGAAAAAAAAAAAAAAAAGCAGAATTGTGCCTATTTATTCCATTACTGTTGATGTTTTTGGCTTCATGCCATTTGATAGTGGCTTGCAGCTTAATGGCTGAAGTGACTGCACTGAGATTACATCAGCAAGAAAGATAACTCACACAGGGAACAAAATCTTAAGAGTACTTTTCCTCCCGTAAAATTCTAAGCAGTGAACCAAACTCGTCCAATATGAGCCCAGAGACATATTGCTTGAGATGCACAGCCTTATGAATCTGTCTATAAATGGAGAAAGGGAAGGAAATCTGAAGGAAATGTAAAAGATGAAAAAAAATTCATATCTTATCCTTTGCGATACCAAATATTGGAACTTCAAAGAAATATGGGGAAAAATACAATGCTGTGTAGTGTCAGAGGAGTGGGCAGGAGAGGACTGTTCAAAAAATAAAACCCTCTTACTTCAGTAGCAGAATTTCAAAATAAGCATATTTTGGGTTGAATAAATGAAAGTTCTATACAGATAAAGGGTATTACAATTATATTTGGATGCTTCCCATATATTCTGCCTATGAATAAAAAACATTCTACTCCGTATCATTTGTATAGCCCCTTGCTAGTTCCACAAGGTTACGTTAAGCTTTCTGTCCTGGCTGAAACAGCAACAGTGGGAAAGCCTGCATTGGAGCAGAGGCAACACTATTTTTTGACTGCCAAGGATTGCCCTGTTTCTGATTATTTCTTTTTAGCAAAGACTCTGCAGTTTATGAGGGGACAGGATTGCGAGCTTAACAGTTAAAACAGCAAAACAATTGAATTGCCATGATTTAGCAGTGCAATCTTGGGGAGCTCCAAGGAGATGCAAAAAATTGTGTTGAAAGTCCAGCTCCATTGGTACTGACTTCTCATGCATCATGACCTACTAACCAGAATGGGGCAGGTAGTGTATAGGCTGTAGCCTTTTCTTTCCAGACACACAGAGATGCTCTTTGACTCTTTTGTCTACTGCTAAAAAATCAGAACAATGCGTAATATGCATTACATGAAATGTTTTTAGAATAAAAATACAACTATGGCTCATTTCATGTAATAGTTAAGGAGTATTTTCTTCTCTGTGTACCTAGATAGAACTTAAAAACACTGAATGAGGCCCTCCTTCAGCTTCTTCACCACTTGAGATGATGTGGACCTCTACACACTGAAGAGCATTTTCTATGCTGGTGCCCATTTATGGAATGGCTTCCCCATTATACCATCATTTTAGTACCAAGTGAAACCCTTTCTATTTTCCCAGAAATTTTAGTTGACTTGTAATTGTATTTTAATTCTTATGATTTGAATGACCTTTGTGCTACTGACTAATTTGTATGGTGTTTTTAATTTGTATTTTTTATGATTTATCATAATCTGATTTTAGGCAGATTATTTTAGTAAATTGTAAACTGCTCAAGGAGCTTTGAATATAGAGCAGTTTAATTTTTTTTTTTTAATATCACTGTCATCTCAGAAACCTTATTTTTGTTTTGTTTCTAGAATCAGCTCTGATAATCGGTTTTTGGCAGTGGGTTCACAAGAACATACTGTAGACTTCTATGATCTCACACAAGGTACAACCTTGAATCGAATTGGCTATTGCAAAGACATCCCAAGTTTTGTCATTCAAATGGATTTTTCAGCAGATAGTAAATACATTCAGGTAAAGTTTTTTCTTTCAGTTAAAAAACAGCCTTCCTGATTCAGACACGAATTCATGCCTCAAGTCAAGAAGAGCAGGAGGTACACCTCTTAAATTTCATAGACCCTTCCGATTCCTCTTGTTTATGATACTGATATTCCAGAATCATAAGCATCAGGTAGGTAGAACTGACAGAGACAGAAATGAACTTAAAATTTAGATTTAAAAAGCCACAGCTGTTATGATTGACTGACCAGAAGGTCAGATTTTTAAAATGTCAAATGAGACAAATTTACAGGCTCTGATTTGCTAGAAGTATCAGAAGTAGTTTCATAAATCAACCATTCACATTCCAAAGTTTGCCATGAGTATTTATGAACACTCTCACTATTCACTTACACATTTCAACATTTTATATAATAAAATATAATGCAAGAACCCAAAATCGTCATTACTCCTGAGATGATTTTGGAAAAACTATATATTTTAGCACTGTCCATATAATCATTGTGATTCATTTCCTTCCTTAGGTATCAACTGGTGCCTACAAGCGGCAAGTCCATGAGGTGCCACTAGGAAAGCAAGTGACAGATACAGCATTTATTGGAAAGATCACCTGGGCTACCTGGACAAGGTGATGTAGCACAAAACGCTAAACAAGGAGTATAAACCTACACCATCTGATCAGAATTGGAAGAGGCTACTTAGACCATTGAGTCTGATCATCTGCTTCAGGTTGAAATCCAAATGAATCCATTCCTGACAGATGGCTGTCTATATTCCTCTGACTAGAGCACATCCCTTAAAGGGGAAACTGTCACCAGAAATTGAAAAAAAGTCAGAAGTCCACAACAAGAATGCAGGTTAATGAGCTGATAGTGAGAGACTAATCCACTTACAATAGCAGCCCTTAGAAAATGTCTATCTCCTTTTTTGAATTTTGACATTCCACTCCATTCTTTCAACAGCCCCTGAAGTATGTTATATATTGTTATATATCCTATACTCCCTAAGACATTTTACTGTCATGTCCTCTCTAATTAGTTGATTTTTCTCCTTTGGAGCAGCATCCTTGGGGATGAAGTTATTGGAATTTGGCCCCGAAACGCAGATAAGGCAGATGTCAACTGTGCCTGTGTGACCCATGCTGGTTTGAACATTGTCTCTGGAGATGACTTTGGGCTAGTCAAACTCTTTGATTTTCCATGTACTGAAAAATTTGTAAGTGAGCATGTTTTGCCTTTTTGGAGTATGTTTGTCAGTGTGCCTTACCTTGATAAACATTTGGTTGATCGGTAGCTGAGATCAGCCTGTATCTTCTAGTGGCAAGAAGATATTTGGTGGCTGGCTATTTGTGAGTAAAGCAATATTGTTTTCAGAAATCGTTTCTTTTCTTGACAGGCCAAACATAAGCGTTATTTTGGTCATTCTGCACATGTCACCAACATACGCTTTTCTCATGATGACAAGTATGTTATCAGTACAGGAGGAGATGACTGCAGGTAAGGTTTGCACTGTGTAACATTTAGTTGGTTAAGTGGTGGTTGGAGATTTTGAGTTGAAATGGGAGAAATCCAAGCTCTGTTTCATCCTCATCTGCGTCTAACTGGGAAGCCTTGATAAGATCATCATATGTCATTCTTCTGAGGGCTGTTATGATGCTGAGTTCAGTACAGGTAGTCCTCGATTTACAACAGTTCATTTCATGATTGTTCAAAGTTACAACGGCACTGAAAAATGTGACTTATGACTGTTTTTCACAGTCACAACTTTTGCAGCATCCCCATGATTATGTGATCAAAATTCAGGTGCTTGGCAACTGGTTCATACTTATGACTGTTGCTGGGTCCCAAGGTCATATGATCACCTTTTGTGACCTTCTGACAAAGTCAATGGGGAAGTCAGATTCACTTAACTATGTATTACTAACTTATCAACTGAGTGATTCACTTAACAACTATGGTAAGAAAGTTCATAAAATAAGACAAAACTCATTTAACAAATGACTCATTTAATAACAGAAATTTTGGGCTCAATTGTGGTTGTAAGTCAAGGACTATCTATAGTAACTTGAATTCCTCAGGGGCAGAACCAAAATGTAGCCAAATATAAATATGGTTAGAAGTGATTTTTTTAAAAAAATGTGCAGATTTTTCTGATCCTTTGCTGTGAAAAGTCTGCATCTTTTTTCTCTAAACAGGGTAAAAAAAATCACCATAGTAAAACCTTTCTGGGTAATGGGTTGCAGAGAATATGGATTATCAACTGCTTCTGCTGGATTGCTAGCAAGGCATTATCACCCATATATTATTGTTTTCATCATGATTGGTTGCCAAATAAAAAGTCAGATTCACTCATCTTTTTGAGCCACTGGGTACAACTGAGATCATTTTTTACTTTTGAGATGACTAGTTTGACTACTTAATGGCTACTATGATAGGTGCATAGTTAGCTACAATAGAGTTGAAACTATTCACCTTTTGAAACACATCCTCATGGCTTCTGTGAGAAAAGAGAACAAACAGTGAAAGTGGCAAAAAATAAGTGAGAGGAATTTTTATCCAAGCAAGTGAATGGAATACTTGCACTGCCCCCCAAAATTACAGAATTGAGGCTCACTTGCATCAAGAACCCTGTTTGTACAAGAATCCATGGAGGTGCATAGCCTTGTTTTGGCAGAGGATGGTTAGTTTTTCCTCTCTGTTCAAGGAGGCAAGTAATCTAAACAGAATAGAAGATTGCGCCCACCATAGCATGTAAACCCAAATAAATTATAAATATCCTCTCTACCAATTCTTAGTCTATAAAATGGCAGTTTAATCTGGTTTATTACAGGGGATCTCCACATCAAGAATATGTAAAACTCAAGCAATTAATCCCATCTAACTCCAATAGAAAACCTCCCTGTACTCCATGTGTTTTAGCTTCTCTAGCTGTCTTTACTTCCTTTTATTAAGCTGCAATATATGCTTAAAGTTCACTGTAAGGAATTCTGTTTGGTGCAGGCACACACATTTGACACTATCATATTATGGTCTTTGTAAAAATTATCTGTCTATGGCAGTAGTGGGAAATTAATTGTTGGCATTTCTTGTTTTAAATGTGGTGGAATATGGGGGTGGATGGGTGGAGAACAAGCTTGCAGTATGATTTTAGCCACATCTGTGTTTATTTGTATTTGTAATGATGTGTTATTTTGTCTTCTTCAGTGTATTTGTATGGCGATGCCTTTGAAGGTCACAACTCTCAAGGAACATTCTTGCCACCGCTGCCATTTGAGTGCCAAACAGTAAACACATGGAAACTGTTCAAGATCTCAGCATGGCTGGGATTACGAACTGTCTATTTATGAAAGACATAATTAGTCTATATAATACATCCCCAAATATATGCAACCATGGGGAAATCAAATATTACATAATTTGATATTGACTTTAAATTAATTAATCTAATATATACTAAAATCTGTCTTGCCAAATTAAATATTCAGGAATACAATGCCAAGACCAGGGTCTCAAACTCAAATTGTCACAAGTGCCATGTGAGTCTTAGCCTTGACGGCCACAAAACTGAAACCTTTCTGCGCATGAATTAAGTCCAAAATGAAAAGTATCACATATGTCGTATAACATAATATATTGTGCTCTTAAATCAAACTTTATTATGAAGCAAAGCTACTTGCAAGACCGCCATTTGGTCGGCAGCATTTTCCATTAACTATAATACCAATATCTGATGTTATTACTTGGTGATGTATAATTTTTTTCTAAATCCCATTAAGAACAGTACCGGCTAGGGCTAGTCCCATCCCACTACAAGCTTAAGGTTTAAAGGTTTCCCCTGTCCAGTTATGACTGACCCAAAGGGGTGGTGCTCATCTTTGATTTTTAGGTGAGGGAGCCTGAATTCTCTGAGACGCTTTCATCATCATGTGGCCAGCATGAAAATACAGAATGCGGTAACCTTTGTGCTGAAGCAGGTCCTATTTATCCACTTTCATTTGCATGCTTTCAAACAGCTAGGTTGCCAGGAGTTGGAGTGAGTAATGGGAGTTCATCCCATTGTGTGGGCTCATCTCAAACCCAGGTTGTCAGCTTTCCAGCTGCCAAGCCCAGTGTCTTAAGCGCTAAGCCATCATGCCCCCCTCCTGTCCCATTAAAAACAGCCAAAATCCTGCTTTTCTTCTTATTGAGCAGGCTTCTTTCAGATTTTTCTTTATTCACTTTTGTCCTCTTGCCTGTTCTTCTTTCACTAGCTAAGCTCTCCTCCACTTGTTGGCTGATGCCTTGCTTGGCATATGAACGCTCACAGCAATGCAGCCAGGCCAGGCCTTATTCTCCAACCTTCTCCATATCAGCTCCAGCCCCCAAGCTTCATGTCCGGGGCTCTGCCTGGAGATCCGTGCAGCCTTAGAACATGTGTTCTTGGAATGGGTGCTGCCAGTGCAAAAGGCATTGGAGCACAGATTGCATGGCCCAACCAACCAGGCTCAGCTGTTGCCAAGAAAACTATAAGGTTGGTTTGAAATGAATTGCTTTGGTGCCTGCATGCAGATATCTGTACATAGGTCTCTGACCTCAGTGGCTACAAGGTCTTAAATAATGGAACACACCAAATCATTTCAAGGGCCATGAATTTGGGACCCCTGACTTAGTTTATTGTAGAGATAAGGCTTCAGCAATCTATTAAAAAAAATGAAAGACTTCAATGTGAAAATAGTGAAGACAAGCTTTCTTATTTCTTAAACTTGTTCTATCATTCCTAAATCATATTAGGGGCAGGATTCATTATGACAAAAGCCGGCTTTTGTTTGTAGCTGATTTTATTAAAAAATGAACTAATTAGCAATGCTCTCTCTTCCATTAAGTGTATTAGATGAAATTCTTTTTGCCATCTTTTATACAAAGTGCCTTTTGAAAACTTTTCAGATACTGCAGGATATAACATTGTCTCCTGCCATTGCCTCTTTCTGCTCATGGTGCTAAAATCTACAAACTGACGAGGGCTGACAAAGTCACTTTTCCCCCCAAATATTCATTTTTAAAATTTATTTTAATTAAATTTCAGCCTTCCCTCTTAATATCAACAACAAAGAGTAAAGGTACAAAGCAGAAATTAAAAAATTGTCAGTCAGTTTGACACTACATTTGGAAATTAGGACTTCAGAGAAGTGGTAGAATTAAATGAACAATGAATACCCTTCCTTTCCTTCCCATTTGAGGTACATTTTTCAATACCTTTTATCCAGCCAAGCAATAGCCAAGGTGGCATTTTAACTTCGGGGGAGGGGTGGGGACCCTTTCCTTCATGAAGTGATTCAAGGGCATTTGTTTTACTCACAGTTCAGTGATAAATTGGCAACCATACACATTTGTGATGGTAAAGGACCATTTAACTGTGGAACTTGAGGTTATTGCAATTGCTGAAGCCTGCAGTTTTTCAGTGGCTAATGATCAGGAGCATTATACTTTTAACTTCAATATCATAGGCAACATGCCTCACACTTGAATGCAACTATTGATGGTCACAGGCAGGAATGTACTATTGAGATTATATCCTGCTTGTGGGCCCAAAGTCCATGGGAAATAGATTGCTGGACTAAGAAGGCTTTTGATCTTGTCTAGCACAACTCTTACTTTCTGTAACTCATGCAGTGAAACAATCCTAGATTCAGTCCTTTGTAGCATTAATTTATTTCACAATCAGTAGTGAGATGAAAAAAAAAGGGAAATATCCTAGCCTGCATTAGATGAATCAGGTTGAACATATTAAAAGGTTATTTAAAAAGGATCACATTCCTTTTAGAACTGATGAAAGAAAAAAGGGAAACGGGACGTGTTTCTGATATAATAATCTCAATGTATACAACACAAAAGTGCTTCTGTAAATTTAATGTGTGTGTTATTTGATTAATGCAATGTTAATGCCTTATACTCCTTTATTTCATACATATGTCATATGCAGTCTTATTCCTTTGTTCTTCATAAGGAAAGTTTCCCGTTTTAACCAATGTAACCATCTGGTGATGTCAGGTGGTCACCTTATTTGCCTCTGTTGTAATACTGGCCTTTCATATGGAGTGCATCTTGAATCTGTTACAGAATGAGTTGCTGTATAGTCAAATTGTGCAAGAAAATTGAAGATGAATAATATATTTGTGCTTGGAAGAAATTTTGTTTATATCATTTAGAACTTTATGCTTAAATTTGATGCTGTATTATAATGTAAATTGAAATAGTACTGCATGAATTTATTTTTTAAATAATTCAGTAAAAGTTTTATTATTTGAAAACTGATGCCAGATTTTTCTTTGGGAATATCCAGCATACTGGAAAGAAGGAACAGTCTGCTTCTTGTGGAAAAAGGGTGTTGATACTTACCTGATACACCCTTTCTCTGTGAGCTGTGAAGAACATCCAGTGATGGGAAGGTGCTTCAGTCTCTTCTAGGAAGGCTGGGCTTAAACTTGAGGATGCTCCTCCTCCTCGAGACTCCTCCTTAGCGTTCCCAGTTTTGCAAAACCAAAGTATTGATACCCTATATGCTTCAGCCTATGTAATAACCCTGGCCGGAACAGACCCCCCTACCAGAATGAAAGGGTGGGGCTGGATGCTCTTCACAGCTCACAGAGAACGGGCGTATCAGGTAAGAACCAACGCCCTTTCTCCCATGAGCTGTTTAGAGCATCCAGTGATGGGACATACCAAAGCTTGGCACTGTCCTAAGGGAGGGACTCCATCTGGGTTGCAGACCTGTCTCTGAAATAACTTGCTACAGAACTCGCCTACCAAATGAAGCCTCAGCAGAAACAAATACATCAATTTTATAATTTCTAATAAATGGACATGGAGAAGCCCAGGTTGCAACTCGGCAAATCTCCTCTATTGTAGCTTGGGTCGCCCAGGCTGCTGTGGTGGCTGCACTCCTGGTGGAGTGAGCGGTAATGCCTTGGGGCACTGGTATCGAGTGAGAGTCATACGACTTAGTGATGGTGGCCCTTAGCCATCTACCTATGGTAGAGGGTGAAACCTTGCACCCCGGAGTGTTAGACTGAAAGGACACGAAGAGGGCTTCTATCCTTCTGGAGGGCGCCGTGCGCTCTATGTAGATGCGTAAGGCCCTTCTTACATCCAAGCGGTGCCATTGGTGTTCGAGCCTGTGTGATGGACATGAGCAAAAATTTGGGAGCACCAGCTCTTGAGCTCTATGGAATGCCAAATTAACTTTTGGAATGATGGAGGGATCTGGTCTGAGAACCACTCTATCCAAATGGAAAATGCAGAGGTCTTTGTGCACCGATAATGCAGCTAGTTCGGAGATTCTTCAGGCAGATGTAATTGCTATCAGGAAAACTATTTTGTAGGTTAGAAATCGAAGTGTTGTGGTCCTTAGTGGCTCGAAGGGACCTGTAGTAAGGACCAAGAGTACCTTATTTAAGTCCCAAGTTGGATATTGGTGCACTGTGGGGGGCCTCAAGTTATTGGCACAGCGCAGAAAACTGTGAATGAGAGGATGATGAGATATGGAGGTAAGATCATCCCAAGATATGACCAAAGCCAGGGCCACCACCTGTCTCCGCTGAGTATTGGGTGCTAACCCTTTGCTTAGGCCATCCTGTAAAAATTCTAATAACTGCACTACTGATGGGGAAGTGGGGTCGATCTGAACCCTCTGACACCAAGGGCAGAAGCTAGACCAGGTGGCCTCATAGATTCAGTTCGTCGAAGGACATCGAGCTGACTGAATAGTGTGAATAACTTGAGTAGAAAGGTGTTCATCTCTCAGACGTCGCTGTTCAACTTCCATACAGTTAAGTTTAGCCATTGGGGGTCTGGGTGTAGCACTGGGCCTTGAGACAGGGATATAACCGATGATGGGATCCTCCACAGTGGTACCGTCAAGAGGTCCTTCAGGTCCACGAACCATGCTCGCCTTGGCCAATAAGGAGCCACTAATAGTAGGTCCGCTTTTTCTTCCAGCAACTTCTGAATCAATTTGGGGATCACGGGGACGGGAGGAAAGGTGTAGAGCAGTCTGGTGGACCAGTGACATCTGAGGGCGTTCACGTCCTCCGCTCCCTGCGATGGGTAATGAGAAATGAATCGGGGAAGCTGTGCATTGAGTGGGGAGCAAACAGGTCGACAACTGGTTGGCCCAACCTCAGAGTAGCCTCCAGAAAGATCTTGGGGTCCAGTCGCCAGTCTGATTGGTCCAACGTGGCTCTACTGAGCCAATCTGCTTGTACATTCGGTACTCCAGATATGTGCTCTGCCTTTAGAGAGAGAAGATGGATTTCGGCCCACAGGAATAGTCTTTCTGCTTCCCTCATTTGTAGATTGGAATTAGTGCCCCCTTGTTTGTTGATATGGGCCTTTGTAGTTATGTTGTCTGTTAAGATGAGCACGTTTGCAATGGAGATGTGGGAGGAATTGTCGGAGTGCCAAGTACACCGCTCTTAGTTCTAGCCAGCTGATATTGTGTGCCTTCTCTGAATCCGTCCAAAGGCCTTGCGCTGTATGATTGGAAATGGGGCCCCCATCCCACTAGACTCGCGTCTGTTGTAACAATCGACCTGTGTGGATCCTTGAAAGAGCATCCCTTGTTGATTTCGGGTCGTGTCCACCATCGTAGAAAACTGAGGACGGTTGATGGAACTTTTACACGAGTCTTGGCGTCGTCTCTCCTGGCGCGTTGGTATGGCAACAGGAACCATTGCAGGGTTCTTGCATGGAACCAGGCCCAAGGGAGAATAGAAATACAAGAAATCATTTTTCCGAGCAATTTAGAAAGGAGACAGTTGTACTTTCCTAAGAGTTCTAATCTGTTGAGCCAAATCTCTAATGCTTTCTTGTCTGTCAGGGGAGAGGAAAACTTTGCCTTCCAGGGTGTCAATGATGGCGCCAAGGTGAATGAGTCTAGTAGAGGGTGTTAAATGACTTTTTGACCAATGAGAACCCATGTTGTTGTAGGGTTTGAATGTTCGAATTTGCTTGATTGATGGAAGATGCCAGAATGTCATCCAAATAGCATTGAAGTTGGATGGACCTATCTCTGAGTGATGCTGCCAAGGCAGCCAAGACCTTTGTAAAAGTTCTGGGAGCTGAAGCTCAGCCAAATGGGAGAGCAATATATTCGTAATGGATGTTGTAACAGAAACGAAGGAATTTGAAATGTGAGGGCCTAATTGGCATATGTAAGTAAGCTTCCGTGAGGCCTATGGAGGCAAGGACATTGTTCTTTCTGATGCTGAGTAAGATGGATTGGAGAGTGGTTATTTTAAATTTTCGGTAAACTAAAAATTGGTTTAGACATTTTAAGTCGAGGATTGCCCTCCATCCCCCCGAAAGAGCCTCCTGAGGAGGTTGTATCGATATGCTGCTCCTTCTGGATAAATCCAGAGGGGTGGTTGGAGGGTTCTGGACCTGTGAGGTAGAGGGTATGATGAGTGGTAAAGAGGTGGGTTGTACAGCTGCTCGTGTACGTTTTTCCACCTGCCTTTCTAATGCCTGATGGTGTCTGCATGCATCTTTCTCTGCTGCCTTAGAGGTCTTTTTGGGTTCCATGGACTTATCTCTATTTTTAGCAGTTAGGGGTTGTAGTTGCTGGCCATGATAATGCCTTTGATAGATTAGCAATGTAAAAAGGTTATGAAATTAGGTGGCTGGAACACCTAGGGACTTACTCCCTTTAGGGGCAGGGGATCCTGGAATAAATAGTTTCCACAATGCCTTTAGCAAATGTTGTCTCTATATATACACGCATACACACACACACACACACATTTAACGACTTAAATATTTGTAGAATTTAAGAATCAAGTCAATTTTTTAATAAAGTACTTGTAATATCAAATATGGAGACCAGAACACCCCCCTCCAGACCCAGCACCTATATGAGGGCACAGAGGTCTGTAACTGATAATTAGATCAGTTTAGCTGCACTTATTGCCTGTGGAATCCAGCAGTTCAAGTCCTCTATCACCCAGTGGACTGGTGGTAGGAACCTCACCTTCCCAGGTCCTCAAGAAGGGAAACCTTGTTGGGTAACTTGCCTCACAGGCAGTAACAATTACTCAGCAAATTTAACCACGTGGCCTTTAAAATGGCAGCCACCTCGTGGCAGAATGAAAATGAAAGCAGCTATCACTGCCCAGCCTGCTGAAAGCAAAACAGCTCAGCGGGAAGGCGCAGGGGCTAATTCCCTGCCCTGAGGTGTTCTGCGGGGAAAGCCTCGTAATAAAAGGGGGGAAAAGGCTGCACTGTTTAAATTGAGGCTTCGAGCCTAGAAAG